TCCTCCTGCATTGCTACACAGAAGTTTCCCCCTCAGTATAAGTAAGGTGTTTAGTAGGATTGAATACATAAAACAAATGCACTCACCCTTTCTGCGGACTGTGACGTTCCGAAGAAGATGGGTATGAACGCCAGCCAGATGATGCAGGTGGTGTACATGGTGAATCCGATGGGCTTGGCCTCGTTGAATGTTTCGGGCACGCCTCGCGTCTTGATGGCGTAAACCGTGCACGTCACCATCAGCAGGATGGAGTAACCCAGGGAGCAGATGAGCGACAGGTCCGAGATGTCACACTTGAGGACGCCGCGTGCCGACAACGGATCCTGGGTCCGCTGCTCGCCGTAATCCACCACCGTGTGGGGGGGGTCCACCGCGAACCAGACGAAGACGCCCAGCAGCTGGACTGAGATGAGCGAGAAGGTGATGGCCAGCTGGGAGGCGGGAGAGATTAACCTGGGGAGGAGAGGATCACTGGTATGAGTGGCATATCATGTCAAATATAATGTAATGTTATTGTATATGTCTGTTGTTTTTGTCGAGATACGTCTTAGCTTTTTCCCGTTATATTTTGAAAAGGTTGTTCACCCTGTTTTTATTTCTGTCTTTACTTCCTGTCTGTGTGTTTCCAATCTGTTTTCGATTATCAGATTCTTTTCACCTGCTGCCCTTTTGTTTTTCCTCCCTTCCCAGCTGTGTCTTATGCCTGTGATTAGTTCTAAATGTGTATTTAAATTCTGGTTTCCTTTAAGTCTCTGTAGGATCCTTGTTTATTGTGCGTTGGAGAGTTCAGCATTCACTTTATCTGGCAATCAAGTATTATCATAGTGTATGGTATTGTAAACAAACTTGTCTAAGCCGCTTACATCCAGTTACGCTAAGCAGAGTATTCGTTTTGGAAAGATATTGTCCAGTACGGTCCTGAACACGACTGGATTTGTTCTTAACTCAGTCTTGAATTGGTCTTGACTGCCTTAAGACTCGGTCCTGACTCGGACTTGACTTGACCTGGTCTAAGAATTGTCTCGTAAAAGCAGAGATAAAGATTACATTTTGAGTGGGGCAACCCATGGTCAGATGTTTTTCTCACAGGAAAATGTGTGCTTTAAAAATGTATCAATGTTACATATAAAAATATTGAATATGTTGAATTAAATTCTTTGGCCAATAAGGTATGTTACTTGATCAATACCTTGGCCACCAACCTGAAAACCAGTCCTTTGGTGCCTAAAGATTACTTCTTCAAGGTGTCTGCTCTACAGCAGCAATCTAACATATTCTATGTAGCCCATTCAAACACACACTGAGTGTTGGAGGGAGATCAGGGAAAAGGTAATGGTGAGATTTGAGGCAATAATGAAAAACTGGGGCAGTGAGGAGAAGAACATATCACACTGAATAGAGGGAATGAGATGATCATCCAGGATGCCAGAGAGACAAAAATGGGGGCAAACAATACTCAAAAACATAAGCTCCTATCATTTCCTCCCGCACATGCACTGTGAAAACAAACGTATGGCTCTATTCACCTGGCTCAACAGCTGCTTAGAGACTGACTACCTGCTGAATATTACATACTGGAAACCGGAAAAAGCCTCAAAATGCATCCCATAGTGGCCTTCCCTTGATTTTGTTCTATATATTTACTGGTGTCTGTTTACTTTCCTTCACGTTTTCCAGTAAGAGCAAGTCACACAGAATTGTATTGTATTTCCTGGAATTGGTCAAATCCTAATTATCATAGAAAAATGTTTGATGAATAGCTGTAAAATGACACTAACGGCCCGTCTACACTACAGGCATCAAAAAATCTTGAAGCTGGGCGTGTCTGAAGCTTGGCGATTTTTTGCGAGCAACGCGACCAACAACCAATCACATGAATCTCCCGCCCCCGACATACAAAGCAATAGCAATGTTAAAACGAAGTAAACTGGATATAAACTCCCCAAACAGGCGAAAACCTACCAGTTTCACCCACTGTCTCTGCCACCTCCCTCCATGCCTGGTTCCTCCGGTTTGTATCCCGGTAAATAGTTCTGGTCGTAAAGAACCGGGTGATTTGGAAAATGAGAAAATGAACTGCGGTCTGGCTCTCCCAGCTTGCACGCGGTTTGATTGGCTGCGCTTGCACTGGCGGGATTTGCATAAACGGGATTTGATTGGATAGATGCTCGTGATGCTTGCAAAGCCATGCCATGCTCCCCACAATGCAGTTCGGCGAAGATTAAAAATCTTCTACGTCACCCCATTCAAGTGAATGGGCGAAGCGTTGAAAGCATTTTTCGATGCCTGTAGTACTGTTACGGATGGGCGGAGGGAAAGACAGATGACCATCTGGGCAGCAGGGACAGGAACCTAAGCTCTATTAAATACCGCATTAACATTTTAGCCACTTAGTTGATGCTCTCTCCAAGAGTCACTCACAATGAGAGCAAACAGTACAATGGGTGAGTGCGAGTTCATGACTCATAAATAATGGATGAGAAAGAAATGATGAATAATGATTGTGAGCAGCTTAGTAAGGGAGAAAGGGAGGTTCTGAAACACACGACCTTTCGTTCCCAACACTCCAAATGTACGTGGCGAGAAACAAAGAGTGTGTGTGTACTGACAGTGAGGTGTAGTGTTCACCTGGGGGCTGTTACAGACTTCTTCCCTTGTTCGAAGATGCGGTGTATCCTGTTGGTTTTGGTTAGCAGCGCTGCGTAGCTGAAACACATCCCCAAGCCCAAGAAAATCCTCCTGAGGGAACACACCCCGACATCAGGCGTCGCGATCATCAGGAACGTAATGGCGTAGCACAGGAAGATTCCCGTTAGCAGCACGTAGCTCATCTCCCGCCCGGACGCTCGCACGATGGGCGTGTCGTTGTGCCGCACGAACGTGACGATGACGAAGGAGGTGGCGATGATGCCCAGCATGGATATGAAGACGGGGAAGACGGCCCAGGGGGAATGCCACTCCAGCTTGATGATGGGGATGGGAACGCAGCCGGTGCGGTTGACATCGGGTCGCATCTCGTAGGGACAAAGCTCACAGGTGAACTCTGATGCCTGGGGACAGACGGTTTTGATATTGGAAGTTAAACGGGTATATTAATTAGCTCCATCATCACAACACAAACATTGTCAGTATGTATACTTTGTTACGAGCCAGCCATAGCTTTCAGATCATTGGGGGTAGTATCATCCCCAGGGTTCAAACCAAATTCGTTGAGACAGCTGTTATTGTTTTTTACGGGAGAGGATTAGGGCCACATGAAAAATAAAATGTGGGGATGTGAAACAGATATATATTTTTTTTAGTTCTGAAAAAAAACTTTCAGAATTCTGAGAAAACTCAGAACTAAAACAATATTTCATTTTTTTCAAATCCCCATTTTTTTTTTTTTTCATGTGGCCCTAATCCTCTTCCGTAGTTTTTGCTCCGCACACCTGGGAAAAAAGTCTTGAGAATCTGAGGTCCGCCCAAAAGCTGGGTTCTTTTCAATCCAGCCTGAGAACCTTGCCCTTTAAGTCATGTTTAATAATTGCACTTCAGCACCTCTCTTATTATTATGTGTATTTACAAAGCCTATGTTTAACTAGTTTCTCTCTTTTATGAATTTTCTTTTCGTTGAATTTATTTAGTTTGTACTCATTATGTGTTATTGCCTTTGTCTGAAATACACCATATAAATAAACTAACCTAACCTTAAAGCTCCCACATTTATGTAAATAAGCTGTAAATCCAAAATGCTTTAACATTAAAAGCAGCTGATTTATTTACTAAGCAACAGAGTATGAGTTTGTGTGTGTCATGTCCCTCTTTAAACAGACTGCCTAATGAAAAATAAAGATTTTTACGCCATCTTTCTTTTATAGTTAAGCTATTTGTTTGTTGCCATGCTGCAATGCTATTTTACTATCCACTAAAACCCTAATTGTGTCAAAGAGATTATTGATTTTACAGCTAATGCATGTATCTTCAGAATGAGTATTGATCGCTCACTATGACATCGCCAGCTGCTGTCTTGGCTCATATTTTCCCTTCTCCTTTATTGCTTCCTGAACGAGGGAACTCTTTGCACAAAGACTTGATCGTACACGGACTTTTTAACTTAATATAACGATGATCGGCTGCCAAAATTGTCCCTAACTGTGATGTGATTAACCAGGGGGGTGTAACGGAACCATTTCTCGCCAAAGATTGTACTTCTATTAAATATAATAGCATCTGTGGGCTTCTTGCTGCATATGTAAATCCTAAAAGGGCACTCTAAGTTTTTTGTGATTGCCTTCAAGTGAGTTAAAACTAAATATCCTGACTCAAGGGGAACAGAGCTGTACTGTAGAGTAGAGTAATCAGACAATTGCTGGCAGAAATGTCCTTTACCAATTGAACAACATGCCAAACTTCAGTATTACATTTTGTTTGTAAAATAAGCTTTTTTGTCTCCATGTTTTTTAAGTTTATACTAAATTCTCAATGCAACACAACAGAGATAGACATAAGAGAGATGTGAGACAACCCCGAAAGTTTAGCACCTCAGGCGAATTGTGAAGCAAGAGTTCCTCCAGAGATCTACCTGATAGTGGTATCCCTCGCAGCGCTCACAATGCCAGCAGCACGGCACACCTTTCACCACTTTCTTCCTTTCGCCTGTACGGCATGGGATGCTGCACACAGAGGGGGGGAGCGAGGGGTCGCCTTTCTTCCAACGCATGGCCTCCACCTAGGAGAAGAGAGGAGAGGAGAGAAAGGAGAGGTTTTGTTTTCCAAATCTTTTTGAAGACCCATTGCAGGGAAATAAAAGATCACGTAGGCCTTTGAATACAACAGAACCTGTCACTCAAACATAGAAATGTGTTTCGTTGATCAGAAATGTTCAGCTCTCTACCCACACCATTCCCAACAGCCTATAAGATACTCAAAGCCTGAATAAAGAGTGGTGCAGGAATGAGTCCCAAAACCCGGACATATTTAGCATGTGGAAGCCCCTCTTTAGTTTCTCACCTGCTGAGCCCAGAGTGAAATGCTTTTCTGTGCACAAACTAGAGGTGAACAGCAAACACCAGTGTGATTTTGTTGGGAGTACGACCATATTGGACAAAGTTATAGGGGGGGTGCCAAACCCGGCTGCACCAACACCTGGTCTGCCACATGTGGAAGCCCCTCTTTAGTTTTTCACTTGCCGAGCCCAGAGTAAAATGCTTGTGTGTGCACAAACTAGAGGGGGACAGCAAACACCAGTCTGATTTTGGTTACAGTATGACTATCTTGGACAAATGTAAAGTGGGGGTGCCAAATCTGGCAGCACCATTACCTGGTCTGCCTCATGTGGAAACCCCTCTTCAGTTTCTCACCTGCTGAGCCCAGAGTGAAATGCTTTTCTGTGCAAGAACTACAGGTGAACAGCAAACACCAGTGTGATTTTGGTAGGCGTACGACCACCCTGGACAAAGTTATAGGGGGGGTGCCAAACCCGGCTGCACCAACACCTGGTCTGCCACATGTGGAAGCCCCTCTTCAGTGTTTCACCTGCTGAGCCCNGAGCCCAGAGTAAAATGCTTGTGTGTGCACAAACTAGAGGGGGACAGCAAACACCAGTCTGATTTTGGTCACAGTATGACTATCTTGGACAAAGTTATAGGGGGGGTGCCAAACCCGGCAGCACCATCACCTGGTTTGCCACATGTGGAAGCCCCTCTTTAGTGTTTCACCTGCTGAGCCCAGAGTAAATCCACAAGGGGACACTTGAGATGCTAACTTCCATGTTGGCCTACACAAATACGTCATCACTATGCCACCCGTCTGATAAAAACAGTAATACACCGTCAGCGTGGCTTTCAGCAGTCTCTCCAGACCAAGCAAGTAGAGCAGAGGAGATGAGAACATCAGACAGAGTATGATATTTGTGTTGTGTTTTGTCGTAAGTGATTCAGTACAAACCAGACATTATTGGTGTATTCATGTAGCAAAACATAACTTCCCTCCATTTTGTGGGATTTCATGCGACAAAGACTGGCTCCCCTGTGCTGAAGCTGGCATTGCTTTGTGTTAACAGTCCTTTATCACTCTCTATACCTGCAGACTGTGAGTCTTCAGGGCAACTTGGAGAGCAATTAGCACACGCAGATTCTCTGCTCGATTTCCTGAACGCTGCCGGCCACAAAACTAACATCAGCGAGTCTGGAAGCCAGCAATCAGATCATAATCAGATCTGGCACACACAGTATTGGTGTCTGTGTGTGTNCAAAAGTCTTTGAATATTTGCCTAACTTTTCCTTTTCAGATTTTGAACAATGTACTTGACTAAAATGAATGTATTGATTTTACTAAGACTAAGTTCCTTACTCTTGACTAAAGCGTAATGAAGTAAACGTAAAAGTAATCCTAAAAATTGAAGACACTGCAACTTTGCAGATTTAGATTACAGGTTGATCAAATCACCTCTGTGAATGTTATACCTTAACTGTGAATTTGTATACCTTAGCTGGATCCTACATTTAAAATGCTTTTGACTAGTGATTGCCTTGAAATAAATCTTCAAGCTGCAAGCTGGTTTTGATTTTAAAGTTTGATGAATGAGATTAACTAATGGTTAAATGATAAAATATATTAGTTTAAAACACATATTTTGCTATTGTGCACCTGTGGTTTATATGTGTTCATTATTATGATTTTGACCAAAGATGATCCAAACACTGATGAGAGATGATTTTTCTATTATGATTGGCTGTCTCAATCATTGTGGTTGAATCTTTCAATCTTATTATGTTGTTCTTAATGTGATTGTTATTTATGTAATTGATGTTGTGTAAATCCACACTCAAATCTGAAGATTCCCATTGATTTAAGTATTGAACAAAATATTATTAGACTAAGGGTTTAGATTATCAAAATTGATAAAAAGAGAGGAACTGTTGGGGAAATATTTTCCAAGGCCCATAACTTTGACCCAGTTTATCAGTTCATACTGCCCTCACTGAGCACACGCACCTGTAACCTTGGCTGCTGTGCTCTCAGTGTTTTGCCTCCCTGTTCCTGCCTGTTGGCGTCAACTGATAGAGGTGTTATCATTCTATATTGTTATGCACAATGTTGATTATTCTCTCTGAACTAGCTAAATACATGGGTCTGGGGTAGAGTTCTTCAGAATTGATGTGGCAACTCTATCGTGAAGTCAGCACCTCTGACTCTGGACTTGTTTTGTGAATTCTCCGGCCCGGAGAATTCACAAAACAAGTCCAGAGTCAGAGGTGCTGACTTCACGATAGAGTTGCCACATCAATTCTGAAGAACTCTACCCCAGACCCATGTATTTNGGTGCGCTAAACTTTGAACCAGGGGGTAGCAAGTTTGAGTCCCACTGCAGTCAGCATGTCGTTGTGTCCCTGGGCAAGACACTCACCCCAAGACGCTTTGGATAAAAGCATCTAAGAAGTGAAATGTAATGTACAACAACGAACAACATATGTGCCTAACACATTAGCATAGTGTGCTACACATACAAATATATGAATACAAATAGGACATGACGAAAACATGAAACAAATACCTCATTGGCCGCTTGTCGTGAAAGGAAATTCATCTTTAAAATTCCTTTTCTGAATAACTTTATGTCACAGTGATAACTTTATGTCACGGACTGCAGCAGAGCTTCAATAAAGACATCAACCCACGTTGAGTTGTCCAGTGCATCAACAAAACACACAGCACTGGGCATGAACAAACATTAGTTCCTAGGCACAAAAACAACAAGCACTTGCGGTCACAACGTAGTTATCTGTCTGCATCTTGGTGTAACATATAAAACAAAACTGTGTTAAATCATGCCATATTTTAACGATTTTAATATGACATGAAATACAGGCTTTATTTATTGAATTGAACTTTGAGATGAATTATGTTATTCTTTTTAAATAAGGCAACTTTTTTACGTCATTTACAAACACTATATATGGTCTTTTTAGTTTACTACTAACGTTGTAACCCTGCTAGTAATCCCACATGTTTACTCCCCATGCCTGGTTGTTGATCGTTGTTTTAAACCCTCCCTGTGTGTTAGGACAAGGAAACCAGTCGCAGTGAAAATCCTGAAGAATGATGACAACAACCAGTCGATGCACGAAGAGATGCTGCGCGAGGCCAACGTCATGAAGCAGCTGGACAACCCCTACATCGTGCGGATGATCGGGATCTGTGAGGCGGAGAGCCTGATGCTGGTGATGGAGCTCGCTGATCTGGGGCCGCTCAACAAGTTCCTGCAGAAACACAAGTACGTACTCCGAGAGGACCCTGATCATCCTCTGGAACATTCTATAACTCCAGAGAGGGCAAAAGTCCACACATCCTTTACTCAAGTAGAAGTACAGATACTCATGTTTAAAAATACTCTGGTGAAAGTAGAAGTACTGACTAAACTTCTTTACTCAAGTCAAAGTAAAGAGGCTTTGAAATGTACTTCAGTAAAAAGTACCCATAACTAGCAGCTGTTTTAAAGAGTACCTGACCTCCCTTTATATTAATAGAACAATAATGTCATTGTTAGCTAATGAATGTTTCCATGCTGAACAACGGCAACATGACAACGTTTTCATTGGTCCCTCTTCTTTAGAGAAGACCAGGAAATGATGGATACACGGATCCTGTTCAAATCAATAGGCACGCAATGACTCTAAATAATAATGACCACGCCACCAAACACACATTCAGACTAAAGGAACCAGCCTGTTTGGAAAATGTGAGAAGTAGAAAGTACAGGTATTTGGGTTCAACATGTAAGAAGTAGAAAGTACAGGTATTTGTGTTCAACATGTAAGAAGTAGAAAGTACAGGTATTTGAGTTCACATGTAAGAAGTAGAAAGTTCAAAGTAAAAAGTCGTCAGAAAAATAAGTACCGGTAGTTGATTAAAGTNTAAATAAAGACTTTATTTCATGTAATATTATAATCGTTAAAATATGGCATGATTTAATACAGTTTTGTTTTATATGTTACACCAATATGCGTAAGTGTTTGTTGTTTCTTGTGCCTAGGAACTAATGTTTGTTCATGCACTGGTACTGCATGTTTTGTTGATGCACTGGGCAACTCAACGTGTGTTGATGTCTTTATCGAAGCTCTGCTGCAGTCCGTGACATAAAGTTATCATTGTGACATAAAGTTACTCAGAAAGGAAACTTAAAAGAATCAAATAATCTCCTTTCACGACAAGCGGCCAACGAGGTATTTGTTTCATATTTTCATGTGGGCGTCATGTCCTATTTTCATTCATATATTTGTATCTGTAGCACACTATGCTAATGTGTTTGGCTATGTATATATGTTATTTGTTGTTGTAGTTCTCACGGCGTAATGGAAGAAGGGAGGCTACAAGATTAAATGCCAAAAATAAACACCCGTTTTAAAGAACCGACCTGTGTCGTGAAGAGAGCTACAGAAAGAGTTAGACGCGCATAGAAACAGGCGTTAACCTTGAAAGTCAATTGTATGTATGAGAAACATTTGAATAGGTAACTGAAGTGGGAGTGAATGTCGAGTTAAATCAAAACACTGTTTACCAGCGTGTTTCTAGGCCTACAAGAACGTTAACCTGTAATATTGTCATCAGTGTTTTTTATCAGCAGGACTTATTCCGTGAGGAAAATTAATGAGTTACTTCTCTCAATACAATTGTTAATGTTTTGAGGCCACTCTTAGATTAAAGAGTGCAGACTAAAAAGAGGCACTTGAAAGCTGGCACCTATAGAAACTCCCTGGAGGGAAGCTGAAGCAAAACACGAAAATCTCCTCCAACTCTTCAGCGATATGGCACTCGCTCCAACTCTGGTGAGCAGGGAATACTGATGAAAGCAGGAAGTGTTCCCACAGGAATGCAAATGAACCTCTCCCTTAGACCTACATATATTCAGCATGCCCACACTGATAATTGTATCTTCCTATTCAATTACTCACAACGCTCCATCCATCCTTCTACTCATGGTGCTACTCTGCAAAGTCTTCCTTATCGGCCTCTTTTCAAAAGCCTCGTGGAGTCGTGGGAGATTTGGCGAGAACGATGAAGAGGGTGGGGAGAGTGTTTTGCTTCTATTGTTTAATAAGGTCCTTATCCCTGCCTTGTTTCTATTGCCTATAAATAGTCTTAATGGAACAAAACAAAACAAAATGGAGGTGTGCACTCTCTTTGTTTCTCTTTATTAAGGGACAACAGGAGCAGCACCTGTTTGTTTAATCTGGCAGACACACAGACAGCTCCTACACACTCACATACATACACAATAAAGGGGTAGCGCCCACTGCCAGGCCATTTTCTATGATCCAGCCTCCAAGAAGCACTTAAAACATTAAGCGCTTAACAAAGTTTGTCTTGCAGAGGTTGATGCATTTTCCCATTTGACTATAAGCACTTTATGTACTCAAGGATTGTGATCATGTAACGCTGCATAGCCTGTATGAGTAGGTCTGCCATGTTATGATGTAAGCACACTTATAATGTAGTATTTGTTTTAGTTGTATCCTTGTGAAATAAGCAGATGGATATTCATCCGAGAATGGGTAGGAAAAGAAATCTATTTCTTAAACAGAGGTTATATATGCATTATTAAACTGAAGAAGCAGGTAACACTATACATTAACCAGTGTTTCCCCTACCATTGTATGTATATATATACATATATATATATATATCACCAAATTGCAACTAATCTATATCTACTGTCACTTTTCACATTGAACATGTGCTCTTATATTAAATAAACTAAACACTTTCATTTTAAGTTGTGAGTTTAGTGTTTTTGACCCTAAGAAACACTGATGCATTAATCAATAACAATAACCCCCCCCCAAAGCAGTAACCCTAGGGGAAACACTGCATTAACCATCCACTCCCACAACCTGGGGTCCATTTCAAACTTGTTTTTATTTTTAATTTATGTAGAAAAGCCTAAACAATGACGAAAAATGACAGACTTGACCAGATAATAATTGATTCTGGAAAGTCACAACCGTAATAGCTTTTCCTTAATAATTGAAGTCCTGAGCTCATTGACTTCCAGCGCCTTTATCAGCTGTCCGACATGACATGCCCTTTTAGCTGATGCTTTTATCCAAAGTGACTTGCAAACGCTTCAATACAAAATACATGCCTAAAGGAGCAATTATGGTTTGAGTATCCTGCCCAAGGACACTTTAGACTGCAGAGCTAGGAATCAAACAACTCACCTTTTGATTGGTAGACTCCCATTTACCCCCTGAGCTGAAGTTCCCAGAGCAGGCATCAATCATATCAGTGCAACCGAACAATAAGTCTAGAGTCATGACTTATGACCTAATGACCTTCAGCAAGCATGGCCCCAGCATGAATCTGACCATCAACAGCAAACAGCCAGCAGGTAACAGCTTAGCACCGTCCACTGCTGGAACAGCGGCAGCTGGAGGAACAGCAGTGGAAAGGGAGGGAGGAATCTACAACAGTGTGTCTAAAAGAATTGAGAACACTCCTGGTGTGAGTCTTTATCCCTACATGGGATGAAAAGGAAAGTGAAATGCGGTCATGGATTCCTTTGTTTAGGTTGCTATGTGGATGTAGGAATTATCTACAACTTCAACAGTAGGTCTGCATGCCTTGAGTGTTGGAATCTAGTCATATTGTAGCAGATTTTAAAGAATGTAGAGCTCAGTGCTGGAGCCCTCAGCTTGATTCTCCATCCTCTGTGAACAAACACCAGGCAGACAAATGCCTGAGAGGTGATGGGCAGAATGAGTGAAGCACTGAAGCAACAAGAGCACTAAGTATTCTTGAATCGAATAGCCTCACATCACAGTCATAAGTCACAGTCTGCAGGGTTACAGCTAGTTATCAGTTACGTACACCCAAGGGAATAAATTCATTATCAAGGTGATGAGCATCGCTTCATAGGAGTCAGTACTTTGGGGCTCTAGTCCTTTACATGTGTACATAATACACTTAAACGTCTATAGCTGTGGCCATTGTTATGAGTGCAACGTATGTAAGAAGAGAAGTCAGACAATCAGACTATGTTATAAACAAGCCAATACCACACATATTACATAAACGCATTTATTTGAGGGTAAAACTAAAAGTAAGCACAAGGCAAATGTCAGCAGTAATCCCTCCTTTTCAAAGAAAACAAACCACAGCTGGTGCGTCGGGTTGAAGTAGAACTATGGGAGGCATGTAGCGCAGTGGATAGAGCCTTGGTTTGGGGATCAGATGCCTTTGTCTGGGGATCAGATGGTATTCAAAACTGAAATGAAACACTTAGCAGGAAGCTCAACGGATTCACTGTTTCTAAGATCAAAATAAGTTCACCGCAGCACTTGTTCCATCTTAAGAATATTAACAACCTTATTCATATTTTGTCCTTGAATTGCTCCTCATGCGAGTTTCAGTAGACTTCTTAAGTGATGTTATTCAATGACAAAGTCAGACCTCATGGGTTTTCATGACTACTTTACTCTTAAACGTTTGAGGGCTATTATGTTGGCTGTATAGCTTGTTACTGTCTCCCTGTCTCAGATTCAGTCTTTCAACCTTCCGCTCCAATTTGTCATGGGCGCCTCGAGGGGAAATGACCCACCATTATCTAAAGCTCTGAGTTCATAATTCACAGCTTACTGCTTTGCTTACTTGGGAACAGAGAGGAGTCCACCAATAATAGCTCTATTATCTCCCATTTAGACTGTCAACCAGTAGCTGTTCTCAGCTTCACTCCACAGACTTCCAGTTGGCAGACGACATTTTGATTAAGGACAAAAATGTGATTCACCTGTTTTGGTAAGATGGGTGAAAAATCACACGAGAAAAGTGGCAGAAACAAAAGCAGTGTGAGCTCAGACATCCTGGGGTTGGGCATTCGGGCTGATGTACCAAATGCCTCATAGGAGATCCATTTCCACTTGGCTGGCCGCGGATCCAATAAGCAGCAGAGAAATCCCTCAACCAAATGTCAGAGATGAGGCCACTGAGTCACCGCCTGGATGCTTCATCCTGCCTGGCTCATCGACAATCCTTTCAAATCTGTGAGAACTCTTGAAATGCTAAATAAATGTAATGGGTACCTGAAAAAAATGAGTCATTTGTCACTGGTCGCCACGGTCAACTCTTAAAAGCCAAATTGAGCAATTATGCTATGGTGCTAATCCCCTATGTTTGGGTCAATTTTAACAGATTACACAAAGCCTGATACCCGTCTCGAGCACACAGCATCATCATCGCGGGCAAATCTGTGCGATGCACTCAGAGTGGAGTCTCTCTGATCAGCCATGTGTTTATTTACTAGTCAGTCCGTGCCCTGTGCTGCTCATCATTCTCTCCCAGTGCCAGCACCAGATACTTCTCATCTCCCATAAACTATCGGCAAGGCCAGAGCGGTGTAAGGCGGTCATATTTACCGCCCTAAAAGGAATTGAAGGTTAACAATGAGGCCTGGTTACTGCAGTTTATGAGCTGCTGTAAAATTGCCACTATGATTCAAATCTGTGTCAGGTAAAAGACAATGGTGCCACGTTTAATCTGAAGCCTCCTGTGAAATACTTCCTCACACTCCTCCTCCCTTGCTCTCATCTCCATGACCTTATTTGCGGGCCTTTACCCTGACTAACTGGCCAATTACCGCCCACCTTATTAATATCTGGGAAAGTGCACTGAGAGTCGTTGCCCTGCCCTTTATGTGCTATATACTGTAGGGAGCTAGATACAATCAGGGATACAGTATGATGCACGTCCAAGGAGTTGAACGCATCTTCAGGGACAATAGATAACTCAAAAATATAATTATTAATACACTGCAATACTACAATTTCATTTTAATACCAAAAGTTCCTCCCATACATGGCAACTGTCAATCTTTAATTTTCTTTTCTCCAATCTTGTTTGTGTGTCTGTGTGAATAACCATCCATCTAACATCTGTGACTGTCAAGCAAAACACCTCTGGACACATGCATGCTTTCATTTATCTTTCAATCAAAAATAATGAATCGCAGTTTCATCTGCCCTTCTCTTCTGTCTCTTTTTGTCCTCCAGCCTTTTGTGAAGCACCAAACCTCCTTCTTCTCTTGCTCTCATCAGGTATGAAAGATGAAGAAGGGGAGCCCCGAAAGCAATCCGAGTAGTAAAACAGAATAAACTGCTCATCCATATTACACACACATAAAAATGTAGTAAAGCAGAAAAAAACAGTAACCAGTTAGGAGTTGGCACCTATATACAGTCTATGGTACACACACACACACACACACACACACACACACACACACACACACACACACACACACACACTCTCTCACACACACACACACACACACACACACACACACACACACACACACACACACACACACACTCTCTCTTGTGGCTGGATGCTGGCTAGTGTTGCCCTACACACACACACAC